ATATATATATATATATATGTATGAAAGATTAATGCTGAAAGCTTAAATATGAAACGAACTAAAGCACGCAATCAATTTTATAGTAAATATGAAATAAACTAACATCCATTTAATATTTAAATGTTTAATATATTAATCTTACAAGCAATTAACCTCTAATGAATTATTCATATTCGGAAATCACAAAAAACCATTTGAAATTAGAATAAAATAGGAAAAAAAGTTTTTGTGTGTACTATCATCATAGTTCAATGATTCGGAAGCTAAAAAAACGTTTTATAATTTTTAAATAATTTAAATATTAAAAATTATTTTTCTCGAACTCATTAATATACCTAGATAAAGTTGAAAAATCTGTGCGCTTTTGTCACAGTTTCCTTTTTTTACTTCAAAATTAAGCAACTAACTTTGCACAACAAAGTAAACTATTTCCATTAAACGAAAATAATTAATGAGTGCAAAAAGTATTTTTGGATGGTGATGATAGCACTGCTTGATCAATTATGTCTGACGAGGTCAAAAGTCAATTATTTTCCCTCCAGCTATGCATGATTACCAGAAACTTGTTGAGTTGATATTTGATCTCTGATCAAGGCAATATTCCGAATTTGTAATGTCATCATGACAGTATTTCAACTTTCATAAATATTGTCGCCTTGCAATTAATAACACAACTTTACAATTCTTTGATTAGACTTAGACCTTATTAGAAGTACAGAAATGAATGAATTAATGAAGTGTTGTGTATTTTGTCCAGAAAGCTTACTGGAAAAGAACAAATTAATTCTCCAGTCAAGTCGTTACTAACAATTTCACTGTTTTTCTTGAGAATTGCTTCTACAAATTGTGATCAGTTTAAATTGGATGTTAAATTTCAGATATTTTTTTGAACACCCGATTAGCAGCTGCAGGAACATTTGACAAAAAATGTGACAAAGTAGTCAGAAGTCATTCTTTTGGACCATACAATTTTAGAAATATCACTGGTGACATACCAAATCAGCTGTTGTCAAGAAGCAACGGTAAAAAGATTTGCCATATCTTATCATAGTGATAGCAATTTGATGTTAATAAAGTGAATATTTTGATTAAGTTCACCCGAAGAAGTGAACTTAGATTTCTGGACTTTTACCACTGAATATACACCGATCAAAAGTTCGAAGTGTCTGCTTCTCTACTGTAGAATTAATCGATATTGCCATTCTTCATTACAACTAGTAAAAAGTAAAAAGTACCTATTATTGATAATGCAGATATCAGAACAGCAGCAAGTGCGGAAGAACGAACAGTTGGACGAAATGCTTTTAGCAGCGACAGCCTTGATGAAATTCATGCGACACAAAATCTTTTCTCGCATGAATGTATGCAAAATAAATTATCAATTAAATATTATGGTTGATCTTTTTTTTTCTTTTAACCTAACAAATCATAACGAACATGTAGGCAAGTTAATTTGTATCATACTTAAAAATTTGGGACATAGAAATATTTTGTAGCTATCAGGCGATCATCTGAAATGACCACCAAACCGCGTACTTTTAATCTTGCGAGTATCACTAAATCTAATCAACCATCAATGCTACTTTCAAATCGTTCGGAAAATTCACAAACTACTGATGAAGCAGGTTAAATTAAAAGTATCTTATTGATTCCACTGTAAACATTATTCTGGAGACATCCTTGATCGAAAAAAAAAAAGTTAGAAAGACATTCATCTGATTGAAACGATGATCATTATAGTTATATGGAATTTAAGAAATTTCAGGATTTCCTGATAAATAGCATGTATTGTTGAATTTTTCAAATCAGTTGTACTTCCATGATGTATTAGGGAACAGAAAAGTTGGCAGATCTAAGAAATATTCTGGATTGTCATCATCTATGATCTTTGCTTATATTATATCTAAGAAATATTCTGGATCGTCATCATCTATGATCTTTGCTTATATCATATCAAAAGAATCCGTGTTTCAGGAAGAAATTCATTTTCACCATCCGCAGAAACAATCAATCGAAATTTGCGTGGTGTTGAAAGTGTTACAGATATTGCAAACATACCAAAGCAATTCCACGGCAAAAGTATTTGAAATTTAATTTAAAAGAAACCAACTTTATGTTTATTTAAAAAAAATATCGAAAACCATCATAATATATTATTTCAGGATATTTCACACCAATTTGGGATCATTATCCGGGCGGTAATCGAGCTGTCTATAATTTAACGGAACAAATAAGGCAAACAAAGGAGAAATTACATGGTTCAGAACTTTATCGCTTTCTTAAATTATAATTTTCCAATATAAAAACAAACCATTTACTGGATTTGATGGAATTCTGATTACTGATTAATATTTCCTTTTTCTTTTTTTGTCCTCCAACATGAAAAATAGATGAATTATAGGTTATGATGGTTTTCAAAATGTGAGGAGTGATTGGCGAAATCGAGAAATCTCACAAGAAAGTATAACTTTTGCTTTTCCCCTCCTTCGTTTTCTTTAATTACTTGTTTATTTAATTTCAAATCCTATGCCAAAATTTATAATTTAATTAAAATCCATTTCAAAACAAAATTTTTTTTTCTTATCTCAGGTGACTTGCAAACTGTGAATCGTTATGCATTTGGAGAACAAAGTCTTGCTGATATTCGTGATATAAAAAATCCATTCTTTGGGAACTATTACGGTATGTAAGCACAAATGATGAACAAGGCGCTTACTTGTTGAGTAACTTTGAATTCTCACTCGCTGGGTAACTTTAAGCTCTCACTAGTTGAGTAAGTTTAGATGGATTAAAAAGCAAAATTAACTCAGCCAATTTGTAATTTACAGTGCTTTTTACTGTTAGTCTATGGTGGATTAATTCAATTAGACTTTTCTAAACTAAATTCTTTACTCCTTATTCTTCTAGAAAATGGATGTTAAATTAATCAGTTACTTAAATTAGTGCTGATATTGTTCCCTCACTTTTACTTGATAAGGAATGGAAAAAAATAAATTAAATACCGACGAAAACTTCCGGTATTTAATTTAAAAAGAAAGAGACAACAATAAGACAAGAGAAACAAGTGACAATGAAAATGTTAAAATAAATTAATAAGTCATAAAAAAATCTTAATAAAGCCAGTACTTTGAGGTAAAAATCTATCTGAAACATCTGGAATTGCTCCATACAGAATGAAAAACTCAACACATATAAGAGCTATATCAGAACCATTTTCTCCAACAGGTGTATTTTTATATAATAAAAATTTCATTTTCTCTTCCTCACTCCTTAATCTTCCAAAAAACGGATATTAAATTAATACCGATTAAGAAATAGAAATACTTAAATTTGATTAAGTTTTCTGCTTAATTTTATGTTTAATTCTAGTTTTGGTAGAATTCTCAAAATTTATAACTTCATCCAATCTTGATATGCTTTCAAAAAAAAAAAACTAAATTCAAAATAGTTCTTTTTGTAAAAGACAATCCCCAAAGGAAATAGTAAATGTAATTTTTGTGATTTTATTTGCAAAACTTTATCAGTCCCTCTAAGGATGGTTTCCAAATTTTTCTTGACCAATGACCACATTGGTTTTTATTTGTAGTAGGGATTGTAGGATTTAAAAACAATAAATTTTGCTAATTTGAAAATAAACTTTTAATGAAAACCATTGACGTATTAGTCAAACATTGACAAGAACAATTCCCGCCTGTTTTTTTCTTTACCATGCCGCCATCTCATGCACCACCTGTAATCCGCGAACCACCGTTGGGAATTATTGCCTTACTGGAATTGCTTTTCCTGTTTGTTAAAACTTAAAATGATATCGCTTATCCAATTCCGTACCATTAATTCCAGGAACAGTTAGCACTGAAGGTTACACAACACTACCTTATGCTCACTATACCATTTCTGAAATTGAGGTTTGTGGAATTATTATTTTGCAAAAAAAGTTAAACGAAGTTACTAACCTCAAACCACTGACCTAACAACTGATAATAAGAAATCATATCAGCAGTTGATAACAAAATATTCGGCTACTCTTTGTTTACTTGGATAATTTCATAGAAGAAACTCCTTAAATGGGATTTATTTTAGGATATTAATGCACATCCGGAGTTTGTTCGTGAAGATCAAGTGATTGGTAAAAAGGCCTTTACTCGTGAGGAATATGAAGAATTGCGTGGAATTCCATCAATCACTGATAATGAGCAAACAAAATCTCCCATTATTAATCGATACGAATTACCGGATGATGAAGTAAAAAATTTAACACCTAATTGGTCGATATTAGATCCTTCATTGATTGATTGATAGTCACGAGAAATTTATCATCCATATCTCTGATAAACTAAAATTTTTTCAGCAAAATGATATCAAAAATTTGCCGGATATCGTTGATTCACAGTACACAATCGGACGTAGTGTACGTTCCACAGAAGAAATTCAAGAAATTCAAGCACTTCCGGATATGTGAGTATCTCTACTTTATCCATTTTTCTTTCAATTTCTTGCGAATCGTGAGAAAAACTGTAAGAGTGATGGTAAAAAGTTAATGATTTACAAGAATTTCCAGAAATTGATCCGGCTATTGCAAGAAGAGTTACAATTAATTTTCTTCCAGTCATTCATATTCTCCTGTATCAGATGCTAAACTGTTAACAGCACGCAGTATCAGCAATCGTCCTACCAGCGATATGACAAGTCCTGGTTTACTATCCGCATATGTTGCGCCCAATATGCGCTGTATGATTTTTGCATTAATCCGTTCTGTTTCCTTTTAAAATTCTGCATTTTTTGCATCCATCATGTAAAACTCGAATGGATGCTTACATTATTTGTTGCACAAGCACCTATCATCATCTTCGCTGAACAATTATGGTTATGGGATTGTATGATCTGAGTTACAAATATCAAATACACCTGGCACTGAATCCAATTTTATTTTCACATTTCCGAAAATGACTAGAGCAGGCCATATATGTCAGCTTCCAAAGTTGGTATTTCGGAACAAAAATTTTATATAAATGACAATAATAACTTCTGTTACTTTTATTCAATTAATTTGTAGCTCAACATTACGATTCATCTGTTTCATCGGAATATATTATGCATCAACCATAAAATCGCGAGGAAATGCATTAAAAATGATTCTGATCTTAACCTCATTGGGAATTCTAGTAAATGATCCATTTTTAAAACCAACGAATAAATTTTGAATTCAATTTGAATAAATAAGATCGTAATTTTCAATTCGAGAATTACATCATTTATTACTACTAACAATGCAGTGTTAGTTTCTCAGATTCTTCTTAGACAATTTAGTTATTTCCCTATGAGATAAAAGATGCCAAATGAAGAAAGCAGAGACCTTTCATTCCTTCTTTATCAACATCATTTTAAGAGTTAAATTCAAGATAGCATCAAAAATAGAGTATTTCAATGAAATTTTACGAAACAGAAAGAAAAATATGCGAGATTATTTCTGAGATTCATAATAATAATAGATAAATTATCGTGAATCATTGAAATATCAAAAGCGTGCGGTAATAGTCTAATGATTCAAATAAACCAACAAGTAGCATATACAGACAATAAAAAAAATATGGAAATACAAAATAATATGAATCACATGAATTCCAAAGTAGGTTGAGAAAGTTATTCTAACTTTCTTAGCCGGTAAATAAAAGGCATATCCTCATGCAAGGACTCTCCGACTGTCAAAATTTTAAAACACACCACTGGAAAATCCGAAGGAAAGTGGCTGGTGAGAAGTTCGGAACTAAAACTGAGAAGTTGAAACTGACCTATACTGATCTATGAACCCTATTTCGACAGTATGAAGATGTGAATAAATATTGAACGAAATGATGGGAAAGTAATGGAATGATTCTTGACAAGAGGAATAAAAAGCATGACTATTTTTAAATTAAGAAATAAGGGATTTTTATACGGCAAAGAAGAGATTAAAATATAAAGTGATTTTTTTTACAAGATAAAGTGGATCAAAATAATCAACAATATCAAACCTCGACTGACTGAAATACGTCTGGAGTATCATACTAAGACTTTCCTTTGATCCGTAACATAAATTAACCAATATGGAACTAATCGAAACTACATTATGCCTTTCATCAAACCATGCCGATTCAAGCTGGTTTTATAGATCCAAGTAACAACATGAATTACAATGAACTATAATTTCAAAGAATAGTTTTGATTGAGTGGAACAACGAACAATGAGTAAATAATCATTTCATCAAGCAACTAATAAAAAAGCTTACAACATTAGATAACAAGGAAAGATCACATCGGATTAGAAACCCGAGATGGGTCCTTTGTTGATGACATTTAACAGCGAACTACCATATTTACCCATAAACATAATCGCCTTAAGTTCATTCACCACTCGGTCCACTTCATCATATGTTGAATCTCTACCGAAACTAAATCGTACCGTCCGAAGTGCCAACTCATCACGAATACCACACGCCGTCAGTACTTGAGAACATCTGCAACGGAATAGATAGAGCACTAAATATGAAATAAACAATACAATCTGATCTGACGAATACAATCATTATTTCCTAATGTCACTTCGGACCATGACAGATGTTTTTACTTTGAAATTTTTTAAGCTATGATTCTTCTTTAAACTATGATTCTTCTCCCAAGAAAAATTGGAATGAAATGAAAGATATTTGAAAGAATCTAGAAATATATGTCAGTATTGAACGATGCAAATCATCAGAAGACATAAAAAGCGGCAAAGAATTGGACTGGACATATGCGAATTTCTGATATGCAGATATGTTATTTGTTTGTAATGAAGTGTTCCGCACTATGTAACAGGATATTATCGATAGGTCTGATACCGAAATATTATATAAAGGACAATAAAAAGCGAACTAACTGCTGAGTGGCTGCATGACACGCAGCTCCAGTGCTAGCAATAAATGATTTACATTTAGAGAGTAGTTCGGAAGCATCTCCTGCGTATTTCACAAATGCCACACTACTGGTATTTGGCAGACGTTCCGAAGTTTCGAAATTAATCACAATCTCATTACTGAGCGCTTCCTAAAGACCGTATAGTGACATTGTAAGGTGAGTGAAATTGAGAAAAGAAAATTAGAAACTCGAGAAATATCGCGCTGTTTAGTTGTAAGAAATGTGTTCAACTACTTACTTTGAGACGCTTTTCGAAATAGTCTCGTATTTTCTGCATATGCTCTGAATATTCTTGAAGGCGACTTAATGCCACTTGTGCTGCCTTTCCCAAACCGACGATCATCGGCGTATTTTCTGTGCTTCAAAAGAAAAACAAAACGATATTTTTGATTAGTCAAGCCATCGTATTCTGATCAATAATCCTTGATACAAGAATATATCTTTCTGATATTTCCCAGTAATATTTAATAAATTCGTGTCCAAAATTTTGAGATAACGTACCCCGCCCGTTTACCTCGTTCTTGATTACCGCCCAGAAACATCGCCCTCAGAGGCACTTTGCTTTCAGCTCTTACTACCAGCGCTCCAATTCGTGGACCATAAAATTTATGCCCCGTAACGGTCACAAAATCAACATTCAACGCATTCACATTGACATCAACCTTACCGATAGTCTGGGATGCATCACTGTGTACAAATATTCGACTTCCAAATTTGTTCTCATATTTTCTGAAACCATCAAAACTAGATGATATGATTTTGCAAATAGTAAACAGAGTTCGCGCTGAGCATATACGAATGACAAATCTATTTTGTCGTAAAGCTCAGCAAAGATTACTGCCGCAATGTTATTTTGCTATTCGGCTGATTATTTCAAGAGATCGAAACACAACCTAGTAATTTCAGCAATTGCAGCAACAGGCTGTATAATGCCCGTTTCGTTATTCGCCATCATTACTGATACCAAACAAGTTCGATCGCAGAACGCATCTTCCAAATCATCTAATTTTACTTGACCGGTTGTCAGATCAATATCGATTTCAGTCAGGTCTGCTGAGCAATTACCATCAGAAAGTTATGTTGATAATTGAACACATTCATTTCTGAGGTGAACAGAAAGCAATCCATGAAATATTTCATGGAGGGCTACAACTTATTAAAACCAGTATTACTCCCAAAATATATGCAGGATAAAGTAAAGAGATTACTGAAGTGAATTTTCACAACCAATTTTCTAAAACTGAAACAAATCTTATTACCAAAATACAAGCTTACCAATTTCTTGTTTCTTTTTTAGGTCGCGCAACGGTTCTAGAATCGATGAATGCTCAATAGCAGAGGCCATGATATGTGGTTTATAGTCTCGCCCCCAGACTGCTTTCCGATGTTCAATACAGTTGTATATCACCCAGCTATTGGTCTAAACAAATATGCTAGAGAAACACAATGTTCATCATCAGTTCATTTATATCACCACAAAGAAAGAGACAGAGAAAGAAATATAAAAATCTAACCTCAGTTCCACCTGATGTGAAAAATACTTCCTTGTCGGTAACATGCAACAATCTGGCGACATTTTCTCTTGCTTCCTCAATCATATCCTTTGCTTTTTGCCCTTTATAATTTTTCAAAAATCAAAAAATGGTGAGAGAAGTAGAAAAGGAATAAATCTCAATAAAAAAGGAAAAACTGAAAAATGGAGAATACTTCCTCTTCCTTTTCTTATAAGACAATTGTGAATTGATACCCAAGGATTTACCAAGTTCATTGTTACTGCTTGGATTACCCCAAATTCGAAATGCATTCACCATAGATCGCTCAACATCTTTATCGATTGGTGTGGATGCATTATAATCCATGTAGACTTTTCCCTGTTCTTCGATATACCAAGCCATTTAAGCTAGTAATTGAATAAGTAAGAAATCAAGTAAGAAAAGTAATGTAAAAACTTTTTTTCGATCAAATATTGAATCAAATGAAAAATTGGAAGTAAACAATATGTGATACAAGTATTAATAAAGGGAAAAATGGAACAGAGTATATTTAAACATATGGGAATAGCTGAGATACTTGAACTTAAGTTGACGAAACTTTGAGTTAAAAGTAAATCAAATGCAGCCAAAAAAGAAAGGAAATAAATGAAACTGGAAAGAAAAAAGCAAGTGAATATTATTCTTATGTTACTAAAATTTTACAACGAATCCTGCAAGTGGATGTGGATTTGGCATCCAGTAAAAAGAAATGAAAAAAATGAAGGTCACAAATGAAGATTACAAATGGAGGCCAACATATTATCGTCGGAATTTAAATCCAATTATTGGAGACAAAAGATTTGTTATCAGTTTCATCACTGCTTTTGTAGATTAGTTTTGAACCATAAAGGAGAAGTAGAATAATTACCATCTGTTAACATAGTAAACAGAAGATATGAGGTATTTCAAACTTAGGTATGAATTTGCCTTATTTTTCCGATCTATTTATAAATGAAGAATTCTCGATGGTTAAAACATTCAAAAACCTGGGGAAAGCAAGTATTGATGACATCGATTCTGGCAACGCGTCCAAAGACAGGGCTCATATTGCGACAATCAGAATGAGCATTAACCAACAAATGAGCCGGTGGATATATACTCATTCCTGAGGTGAGATGAATGAATGGTGTCCCTTGTTCAGTGGATATTATCAACTTTTTGCAGTTGACACGAGAAAGTTACTAACAACAAATGATTAATTATAGAAATATAACGGATAACACGAATGACAACACTTCACAATACTTGTACATTTGCGTATCCAAAATACTAAATTTTTTGGCTAATCACTCCAGTCATCCATTAAGTCTTTTCCAAGTTCATATTTTGATGATGAAAAATAATTTCATATTCGAGGAAACTCTAAAACAATGGTTCCTAACCGGTGGTTCGAGAGAACTAAAATATGATTCGCGAAGGTGGCGGCACGACAAGTGAAGAACAGGCTAGGATTATTTAGTGTTTGATGAACTAACAGGTTAATAGTTTTGATTGGAAGTCTATTTTCAAATTAACAGAATTTATTATTTTTAAACTTTACGATCCACTACAAATAAAAGAGCCAATGCGGTCATTGTTCAAGAAAAGGTTGTGAACTATTTTTAGAGTCTAACGAGTCTTTAGAGTCTAAAGGATATATTTGGATTAGATATTTTGAAATATTACTAAAAGGAAAAAGGCACAAGAAGCGAGCAAGAAATCTTAGAAAGAGGGGAAAAATAAAAAATAATGTCAGACATGACAACTTGAATAATTGTGATTGTACATTAAGTTTGATGAGAAAGGATAACTAAAGTGTCATCAAACGATTAGCATAACAGAAGTAAACGAAACAAAAAAGACACAAATAATAAACGAATATACAAACGAAACAAATACAAAGAGAGCTACAACAATAACCAACAAATGATTCTGAGACCCAATTGTTTCATTAAAACTGAGCTCGATTTTCACGGTTTATGTTGCGTTAATTGCATGTGGGAGGGGGAGGGGTTGGGTAGTTCCAGGAGATCTGGGAGAGGTAATGGTTGTATGTTTGAGCGTTTGGGGATGCGATGTTATCTCACCTTTTTGAAGTTTCCATTGGGATGAGGAAACAATATATAGATTTATTTGTTATTATGTACTTGCATTTTGAATATATAAATGAAACAATATATGGATGTAATTATTATGTGTTTGAATGTATTTTTGTGCTTTTACGAGTGTATTCGGTGAAAGTCAGTTAATCCAAACCAGTGCTAAAATTGCCGGAGAGAATTGGGGAACTGGTGTAACCATTATGCTAGGGAAGAGGTCGGCTGATTTCTGGCATGCATTTTGCATGGTTTCTAAAGGATAACTCGTGCTTGTGTTTGATTATGGAATATGTTTTGATTATGGAATATGCCTGAGTCGTTGCGATTTAGTTGTCACTGAATAAGGAGAGTTCTTGGCAATTCGAGTATCATCGAAAAAAGCTTCCTTACCAAAATGAGTGTTTGATAGCAGATGGAAGAAGGGACAATATATTTCAGGCGAAAGATGACTAGTAAATTGCCAAAAATCGCACCAAAAACAGTGGTTAATCGCACACAAACGCCACTGATAGTATGGTTACGTGATAAACTAAATGCAGTATATCGAGATCGAACTACACCACCACCTGGCTTACCAACATCTGATGGTGAGGTTGGTTGACTTCTTGCTTATACCTCTTCTTGTTTATTTTTTTTTTGTAACTTTCGAATAATGATTAATTCTCAGTTGTCATTATATGTCATTATAAAAAGTCAAAAATCCGAGCAATATATATGGTAAAATTCCCGTAGTTCATAGAAATCATTGCTATCAAGGTGAATAAACAGATTATATACATTATCCAACGTATTCGATAGAGAATAGATTACTGCGCGTAATTAATTTATGAGTTTTTTCCTTATTTCAGAGCAAATTTTATGAAATGAATCGTTTTCCAAATACTCAAGCAGCGCGAAGTCGTCCTTCTGTATCATTACCGGGTGGTGTACATCACAAATCATTCGACAATTATTATTTGGACAGAGATGCTCGGCGGAATGTTCAGCCTTCGAAATGCATATATACCACAGATTCACATGGCCCTGTTTTCAAAACTCTCAGCGGCGAAACAATAAGGTAATTGCTTATTTCGAATGGTTCTCTTTATGAAACATTTCTTCATAGATTGCTGATTTCGAAGAGTCTATTGTTTTGGTTCCACCTGGTTAGTATACAACATAACATATATATATATATATATATATATATATGTTGAACATGATAAGGGTGTTGCGGGAATGTTAAGCTATGGTGTTGTGGTATTATATATATTGGACATGATATTATATTGTAGGAGGCGTGCATTGCACTCAAAATGGTTGTATTCTGCGCATAGTTCCACTAGATCTTTGATTAAGTTTAAAGTTAGTCTGATTTTACAGATCATTTTTCTCATTTTTAGTTGTGAAGCAGCAACGAAAGTAGAAGGAGATTTGCGAAAAAATTTCGGTCTGGAGTCACCAACTCCGGGTTTCGGCTATGCATGGCATCGGAATAGAGACGAAGAATTGCCTACGCAAAAGTATTCAAAAGATTTGGCGGCACTGGAAAAATACGACAAATTCACATATAGTGATTAATTGAAACATACCAGTTTGTAATAAATTTATGCATATTAACATTTTTGCTTAATTTCCCTACAACAGTAAAAAAATTTTCTGTAATTGTTCATCTAGTATTTTGAAATTACTGGTCAAATACCAATATGCTAAAAGAAGAATGGAAAAAAAAGACCACTCGAGATTTAGAAATGCACACTGGACTTTTTAAGTCTTAATTAGTGGAAAATTTCTAGTGCAAACTAAAAAGATATCGTTAATAGAGTTAATAGATATTTACGGCTTTTATGATGTAATTATTCTCGTGTACATAACTTTCCTTGAGCAATAAATTTATCGGCAAGTATTCAATTTCGTAACATATTTTATATAACTTCCATTAACGCTTCTTTTCCATTGTCCTTCCTATTGGGTTCGATGAAAGCGAAACATCAAGAGTAATATATAGCAAGCTCATGTTGGGTTAGAGTTTTCCACTTTAGAGAAAGCGTAAGGAGAGAGACTATTCCAGAACATACCCGTAGGCATGTATTCTTCCATGCGATACCATCAAGGGCTGGGGGGGGGGCGAGGGAAGGATGCAAGGGTTATAACAGGTTATCATTTTTGCGTATGCTTCCTTTTCAATAGGTTTGATGTGATGTGTTGGGAAATCGTAGAGGAGAATGAACAAAAGAACAGATCATAGTTTTGAAGCAGGATGATTTCCTATCAATAATGACGTCATTGGTGACGATAATACCAGTTATGGGCATGATCCGACGATGTCCTCGCCTTAACTTTCACCCATAACTAATTTTTGTATCTTTGCTTTACTTACGATTGTTTCGTCTCTTTTCGACGTGAAATTTCTGTTTGATATACATTTCAGATATATGTAATTTTCTATATTTTGCATGCTTTATGAAAATTGCAATTCGGAATTACATATCTTCCATTTTCTATATTTTGCATCTTTCGCATTTTTCTGCTTTTTCTTTTTTTTTTGTGTGTGTGTGTACGTGTGTGTGTGTATGTGTGTGCGTGTATGTGTGTGTGTGTATGTGTGTGTGTACGTGTGTGTGTTATGTGTGTGTGTGTACGTGTGTGTGTGTGTATG